GGGGTCAGCAAATGCCGTGTGGGGTCGGATTCCACTTTGGGGGTAGGTACCCGAGGCTGCAGGGCTGAACTCCCAGAGGCCCGCGGCAGGCCTGGTCACAGGGCTCAGAGGGGAGGCGGGCAGCAGCAGGGGAAAGGGGGCTTTTGGTTTTCAACCTAACCCGTGTGTTTGATTTGGACTTTTTATTTTTATTTTTTAAATTAAGAACAAATCAGGCTGGGCACAGTGGCTCATGCCTGTAATCCCAGCACTTTGGGAGGCTAAAGCAGGAGGATCACTTGAGTCCAGGAGTTCAAGACCAGCCTGGGCAACATAGTGAGACCCCATATCTTATAAAAGGACAAATTAAGGCCAGGCGTGGTGGCTCACGCCTGCAATCCTAGTGCTTTGGGAAGCTGAGGTGGGCAGATTACTTGAGCTCAGGAGTTTGAGACCAGCCTGGACAACATGATGAAACCCTATCTCTACAAAATATATATATATATATATATATATAAATTGCTGGGTCCCATCCCCAGAGTTTTTTATTCAGTTGTTTTGGAGTGGGGCGTGAGAATTTGGTTTCTAACAAGTTCCTAGGTAATGGTGATGCTGCTGCTCTGGGAAGCACACTTTGAGATGAGAACCACTCATATCCAAACTAAGATTATGTTCTGTAATAAAGGTAAGTACAGACTGGATTGCTGAGAGAGCTCAGAGAAAGGAGAGATTAATTCTGCCTGGGAGAATTCTGGAATAACCTTGAAGGACGGATAGAATTTGAATAGGATTTTGCCTGGCTACTTGGAGAGGAAGAAAAAGACACAAGGAACAGCCCAGGGGGTATGAAGGGTGGGGGAGTCAGGAATTTATGCTGCAGGAAAGGTGGCAAGGAAGGAAAGGAGTGAAAGTCCACACTATTGAATAAGCCAACAATGGATTTCAAGAAAAGTGAAGGACTTCTCAAGAAAAAGTTATTTAAAGCTGTTGCTCAAAATAAGATCTATAGATCATATGGCTCCCCTCCAGTCCAGAATTACCATCTCTAAGGTTGGAGACACTTAATAAGCATCCCGGGGGCCGGGCACGGTGGCTTATGCCTGTAATCCCAACACTTTGGGAGGTCGAGGTGGGCGGATCACGAGGTCAGCAGATGGAGACCATCCTGGCTAACACCATGAAACCCTGTCTCTACTAAAAAATAAAAAAAATTACTCGGGCATGGTGGCAGGCGCCTGTAGTCCCAGCTACTTGGGAAGCTGAGGCAGGAGAATGGTGTGAACCTGGGAGGCGAAGCTTGCAGTGAGCCGAGATCGCGCCACTGCACTCCAGCCTGGGAGCAAGCGGGAGACTCTGTCTCAAAAATAATAATAATAGTAATATAATAATAAGCATCCTGACTGGGCACGGTGGCTCACACCTGTAATCCCAGCACTTTGGGAGGCCAAGGTGGGTAGTCAGGAGTTCGAGACCAGCCTGGCCAACATGGTGAAACCCCATCTCTACTAAAGATGCAAAATTAGCCGATACAAAATTGCTGGGCATGGTGGCATGTGCCTGTAGTCCCAGTTACTTGGGAGGCTGAGGCAGGAGAATTGCTGGAGCTCAGGAGGCTGATGTTGCAGTGAGCCAAGATCATGCCACTGCACTCCAGCCTGGGCGACAAAGTGAGACTCCATCTCAAAAATAAAAGACAAGACAAAATTCAGAGGATTTAGTTACTAATTTGATTTGGAGGGTAAGGTGGCTTAGTCCCAGCTACTTGGCAAGCTGAAATGGGAGGATCGCTTGAGGCTAGGAGTTTGAAGCTACATCACACCTGTCAATAGCCACTGCATTCAAGCCCGGCAACATAGCAAGACCTCATCTCTTTAAAAAATGAAATATATAAGAAAAAGACATTTTAAAAACTACTGGAGGCCAGGCGTGGTGGTTCATGCCTGTAATCCCA